CCCGGAGCGCGCAGGACCCCGGGTCACGCCGCCTCATCTCAGACTCGCGTGGGGACCCAAGGTAAGGGTCCCGGCCTGTTGTGGGGGAGGAGGCGAGGACGGAAGCTTTCCTTCGCTCCCGGGGCTGTTCCCCTTTAGAGTTGGATGGCGCCGACCGGGAAGGGCGCGATTGATCGATGAGGCTGCCTTTGGTGAAAACTTTTTCACTCTGCGCAGGAGAGAGACAGCTACAGGCGGAGCACCCTCTCTTCTGATTGATCCCCGGGGTAGCCCTCTCGGTGGTCCCGGAAGGGGGTCAGGGCTGGACACGGGATGACCCCCACCTGCAAGCCCACCTTCTCCCACGCTTGTCTTCAGGGGGGTCCCCGAGGCTCTAGCCGCTCAATCCCACCCCTGCCTCGACCTCCTCGTGCTCCAGACAGCCCTCCAGGGCCGAGGGCACAGGGCCTGGCCCGAGTGGACAAAGCAGCCCTCAGTTCAGGGAGCGCGTGTCTGGCCTGGGCTGCTGCTCCGTGTCCTGGGCAGGGAGGTGAGAAGGACTGCGGACCCTGGGCTCCTGGGCGCTGCCCTCACCCGGGGGGAGGGAGAGGAGACACTCGGTGGCTGCAGTGCTGAGTTACTGGTCCCCAGCTCGGGACAGCCGTGGAGCACCCACTCATCCATGGAGCACCCCACCCCGCCCCCAGCCTCACTAGTTCCTGGTCATTTTCCAAAAAGTCCAGGTCAGCACCAGCTCTCAAGGCCTCAGAGCCTGAAGCCAAGGGTCAGACGCACCGCCCCTCCCGGCTCCGCCCAGCACACCTCCTGACCTAGCCTGGAGGGCCCTGACCCCAAAACCAGGCCTCTGCAGCTTGCTGGGACCCTGAACAGGGCCTCCAGGCCTCAGCACCCAGCTTGGGGGTGAAGGCTTGGAGAGGAAGGCCCTCCCCGGCCCTGCCCCTGGCTCCTCCTTTCTCCTCAAGCAGAGAGGGCCCTGGGCTTGGACCCCTGCCTTAGCTTTGTGGGGGACTCAGGAGCTCCCCCAGGGAAGCAGAAAGTGATGGTGATCTGGGGACTCTCCTAACCCCACCCGGAACCCCGCGGGGCGTGGGCCAGCTTGCTCACATCGGCTGCAGTGGGAGCCTGAGACAACTGCAGGTGCTCTGCCTGAGGGGAGGGCACCGTGGGCAGA